AGGGTTCCAGTACAGTTGTTGAAGCCAGTGCAAACTCTCAATTCGAGCCATGGAATGATCCACATTGCACTGATCCAACTCACTCTATGCTTTCCAAGGATCATTTTTCTAACATGTTGAATTCATGCGCTGGAAGAGTGGCTTCCACTATCTTACAATATGTTACACCGTAAGCTTTCCTCCTATAGTGGCAACAAAATTGCTGACCCCCTTCAGTCGTATACTTTACGCGTGGCAAAATCCGGGCGTGCCGGTCGATGAGGTCATGAACGATATCTTACGCACCTTCCATCATCCAGCTCTCCGCGACGAACATGTCGAAATCCACAAGAACATGTTCGATACTGTAAAAGATTGGATCAACGAACATCCAAATGCTCAGGGTCTTAACCATCTACTCAGTTCAGAATCTGTAAAGGCCGGTCGAAACCACACCGGCTCAGACCAACATGATCATAATCATGGCTCCCTCGGTGGCCACGGTAAAACCTCAGGATCTATCTGGTCAGAAATCAAAACTAGAGATCTAGGAGCAATGGAGGGCTTGGATACTAAACCATCATACATAAACCCCTCCCCAATTCCAGGTTCTCCAGGACGACAACACGGCACTCCAAATTACGGGTACGGAAACACGGGTCCTTCACAGCCACCTCAAGGTGGGAATACTTACCTTGAGCCAAGTTATCAACAACAAGGTGGTTATGCATCTCAGCAACCTCCATACCAACAGTACGGAGGCTATGAACAACAGCAGCAGCAGCAGCAGCCATACAGCCAACAGTACGGCGGCCCTCCACGTAACAACTACGAACAAGGACCTCCTCCAGGAGAGTATTGGAATCAAGGGCCACCTTCCGGCCAGTGGGGCCAACAAGGACCACCTCCCCCCGATCCATGGGGTCAAGGACCTCCTCAGAACCAATATCCTCCTCAGCAGGGATACTCAGGCCAACAATATCCACCTCAACAGCCCCCTTATGGCGGTCAAGGTGGGTATCAATACCCACCCAGTGGTGGTGGTTACGGAGGCTATTAATGACACTCGATAATTTCTTGGGTTTTATATAGGTAGGGTTGGATGGTTTGCTTCATTTTTCGTCGCAGTTTGTGCTGGTAGGTGGCAAAGTGCGCGCGGGGAAAATGGTGATGGAGGTTTTTTGGGAAATGAGATCAAACCGAATCATTGATATTTTATTTTATGGTTGAATAGTTGGCCACAAATAGTAAACTGCATGAATGTATCATGGAGGATCTATTCAATGCACAAGAAATTTAGTTTTACAAGCCAATACATACGTTGATTGAATGAAACTATCCGTTTGCTTAAATTCCTGGTATCTAAATTATGATTGTTAAACTAGGACTATATTCCACGTTTACGAATGGATGGTGGTTTTACATAGTGACATAGATATTAAAGGTCAATCCACGTATACAATTTTAAAGTATAGCAGCTAGAGGGTGCCACATGAACCTCAAATTTCTGTCGCCAACCAGTTAAATTGTCTGTAGATCTGATGAGTATTTTCTTGTCATTATGTATATTATTCTTATACCGATGACATGAAAGAACGATCGAGAAGCTGGGGTGGTATGTATAGGTATTGATCTAAGCTGGATTCATTGACGGGTGGTTAAATATCTAGATAATACTCAACTCGATGTAGGATATTCATATGGTAGATTGCTATGTCCTTTAGGATTGGAAATTGGACTTGGTAGTGATATCATGACGAAGATGTAATGTTTTTGATCGGATAGAGCTAATTCCTCGATGTCAGATTGCATATCGTATGGTTGTATTATATAGTCCCAAGTACTTGTTTGAATTTGGTTCCTTAGATGGGACTAATCATGTGATAAAGAATATTCAAACCGTGATGATTCTGATATCCTGTGTTACTTTCATACGATGATTGATAGCGGAGAATACGATTGGTTGACATGATTTGACGTTCATTTCACAATTCGGTGATAAAAGTTCGGAGTTGTTGTGAGCATGTTTTTGGGTCTCGAGATGTTAGTTCAGCCCTATAGGAGCTAACTTGTCATGAATCACAATGCTAATCCAGCTGTGTTCAAGTGACTGGATTAAGCAGTCGTGAAGTGATGATTTTGGGCTGGTTATATTGAGATGTAATCTTTATTTGGTTAACTTTCCATGAATAAGAGACTATATATATAGATTCTTTGACAATCACAGATTCGAACCACATGACGGAAGATCATATCCTATAAAATAGGATGTTAGGGAAGATACCTAAATTCTTCATCTAAGCACAGAGAGAAATTACGTGTGAACCAATCGAAAACCAATAACTTTCGAGGGGTATCATGAATGTCGACTGTGCAGATAACTTCAAACCACATTGATACCAAATGACGCCTCTCAAAATCATCAGATGAACTCTTTTCGGTACGAAGAAGATAGCATTCCGTTAAAGGGATCGTTCTTGCAGGTGTGGAAGGGGTATAGAATTGTTAATCCTGTGGGTCTAGTTTATATGTATATTAGTCGATTTGCGCCTTCCATATTTATCCCCAACACCGTTACTGACGACATCGCATGCCCAATATAAAGGGCACATATAAGGAAGCCCATTAGTAATTAAGCGAATCATGTACTAGCGAGATGGATCCGAAGCTTATTCTAACTAGATACTCTAGATTAATACTTAAAGTACACCATTGGTGAACAATTTCGGGGGTTGATATAGATATGTCATTTAGCTAACATGAGGGTTGGATTTGATATGCTATTATCAAGATAAGCCAATTGTATCTTGAGCATTAGATATAATTAGTGAGTAAATTGTTATCCAGGGCTATTTTATAGTGATCGGTGTATATAATTGCTTGACAGCACTTACTCTATTAGATTAGAGTTTTGTCCAGTTCATTTGAAAATTCTGGGGTATGTATTTCAAAAGCCTCCTCTGATTTATTTCCATCTTCTTAAGGATTCTCCTTAAACACAAATCCATACTTACAAGTTGCTTCAGACTTTTAAGCCAATCATATATATTCAAGACTATTTCTACTTTGAGATTGACTTGAATTCTCAAGACGATTCATAATATCAGGTAGGTTTATATTACCAAGCAGATTCACATACTCAAGTTGTTTCAATCACTCTAGTCGGTTCATACATTCAAGACATTTCGTAGTTTGAGACTGACTTGTGATCTTTGGACAAGACAGACAATTAAATCAGTTCGTACTCTCAAATCATTTCAAGTTCCCAGAACAATTGATACATTCGAACTAGTTCACCTACTCAGGTTAGTTGATCCACTTAAATAAACTCATAGTCTTAAGTTAACTCAGCCTCCGAGACAGTCCATACTCCTTATTAGTGAAAAGATGGGACGACCTCAACATAAACGTCTTACCCTTATGCCCGAGGAGTGCAAGGTTTATATGCGAGAACAAAAGCGGCATAGCGTATGGCAGGCAGCGGAAGAACTAGAGAGACAAGCCAAGAAAACGAAAAGATTGGCAGGTGATGCAACGAAAGTAGACGAGAATGAGGATGGTGAGGTAAATGAGGAAGAGGAGGAGGATGGTAGCGAGGATGAGGCGTGTGCGGGAATACCTAGAGAAGACGGCGGCGGCGACGAGGAAGAGGGGGTAAGAGAAGGAAAATCTGAAGAGGCTTTGTTCAGGAAGGCTTATCCGAACGGATATCCTTACAACGGACTGTCTTTTGCCTTTCAATGGACCAATGAGCCCAGACACCTGAACCCGGGTAGTGTTCGCGATTACGACCGCCGCGCATACGCGAGGGTCTCCCCAACAACACAGTCCCGCGGTAAAGACGAGGGACAAACGAAAACGTCTCCGCCTGAATACCCTGAAGATCTGCCGATTCTTGGATCATGGTGCTGTGGCAAAGTAAATTGCACGATTCACGAGCATTCATCCCGTAAATTTCAAGAATCTAACAAGTTCTGGCCAATCCAGGGGAGAATAATACGGATGTTGCACCGGTCTAGACTTCCGGCAGATGATTGAAGTTTACAACGGCTTTGGTCTGCATGCTATTCAATCTTCCCTCCGTCAGCCCGTCGTCAGCTCGCCTGCTTGTATGGATAATCGAGAGGGTCTCTACCAATCGCTTATCAGATACCGTTGAATCACCCGATCCATGTCACACAATCGAAAGATCCGTCACTGGATTACACCAAACGGATCGCCCAGTGACTTAGGTCCTCATTATAATCGAGAGGATATCTTCCCTGTCGCCTACCAGACACCGTCAAATCACTCGATTCATTCGTCACTGGATTATACCAAACGAATCTCCAATAACTCATCAGCCTCCAAATAGTCCAAGCGAACCCTCTTATCGCTTACAAGATGCATCGTCTCTCCTCTCCACCAAAATCTCGACAATATCGTCACTGGATCATACCAAACGAGATACCTCTCACCATCCACATAAACTGAGTCGGTATCGCCTCTGCTTTTCCTTCCTCGCCCCGAGCTAAACTATTTCAAGCAGCAAGGCGAGGGTATAACTGAAGAGGCCGGAGACGATACAGAGCATCTCATTTCATGATCTGGACTACAGGCTGGAAGGAGCTTTTCATTGTTTGGGGACAATTTCGATGTTCGGAGCACCATCATCCAATCCAGTATAATGAATGTCGAGTATTCTAATGAAGTTCTGGAACTGCATACCTTTCATTGTCAGACTTGACTTTCAAAAGGCAATGAACTCCCGAGCTGGTATCTGCAGATCTTCTTCAAGCTCAAGATAAAACTTAAGTGATGATGGATAATACCACAGAGCGAGAAGGAACAAGATCAAGTAAGCAGCCAAGCACGTGTTACATACCTAGATATGTCGTACTCATCTCCCGCTCCCGTGTATGCACGACATATCTATCCGTTTCTCATCACCGGTACATAGCATAGCCTGCTAGTATACATCTAAGCTTTTGTGCATCTATACACAGCACACGCCACAACAAGGCGGCGGTCAAGCACATACCATGCTATACTATAGCACAGATGTTTTGAGAAACTCTCCGGTCCTCCCGCCCTCACCTCCTTATATGCAAGACATACTCAACTATCCCCATCTCGCCACCCCCCTCGAGCTTCGGTCCTTATATAGCATGCTAGAACCTAGCTACATGTATATCCAAGCTCAGCACATCCCCTACATCCACAGCACAAGCCAGGACAAGGAGGCGGCCAAGGAAACGGCCAAGCAGCAAGCATGCAAGCACATACTGTACCCTTATAATACGACTGTCACAACAACCTCCGGGCCCATCACCTCCTTATATGCAAGACATACCCGACTGTGCCTTGCCATCCTACACCCTCAAGCTCCAGTCCATAACATGCTAGATCCTAGCCATGTATGTATCCAAGCTTGAGCTCAGCAAAAACGCACATGTACACATACCACCTTCCAAGCTCGAGCTCTCTCTCACCCACTCGGCCATCTATTAAATAAAAATAATAATCAAATGAATAAATAAACGGTAGCAAGCGTCGCTCCTCATCTAGATCCCGTAGTGGATTCGCCTACCCCAACCCAGATCCGAAGCAAGACCAAACCCCAAATTCAAACATAGACACAAACAACCGTTATATCTATATTCATCTCTCTCGTGTTATCAATATCGTCCTCGCTCAGCCCCAATCTGCACTAGCGCCGGATTCCCCGCGGCCGCATAATCGACCTATCCTATCAGAGACCAGCACAAAAAAGCTTGGACATTAATGCACGAGAGATGAATGCCTAGAACTTATTCAATGCGGCCTAGAATGTTAAAAATATACTTCAGAATCCATCGTATCGATGGGATGAGATGGGATGGAAGAGAGAGAGAGGGGTGAAAAATATCATTATCATTCAGAAAATACGATATTGAATGATTTTGTTACTATCTGTGTATGTTATCTCTGAGATTGATGTATAATTAATAACAATATTAAAATGCAAACAATAATTATGTACAACACCACAAGCCCCAGACCAAACCCCCTAAATGCCTTCCCGGTGACCACACCACAACACCACACAAAACCATCTCATCTCATCTCACCCAAAGTGAAAAAAGAGAAGAAAAAAAAAACATCGTGAGATTTCCCCTCTCCAAAAGGTGGGCGATACAACATTGCTCGAAAATGTACGCTAACGATTTGCCCCATGCGCATCCCACGCTCTTGCTTCGCTTCACTAATAGGATTATTAGAAGCGATAGCTCGAACTGATTACCATCCCAAATAAAATTGATAAAAGTAAAAAAAAATTAATTTTTATTTCATTTTTGGGTTTAGTCTAGGGATGTGGCAACAATGTGGGATCCGGTGCATATCTTCTGTCGGTGAAGCACGCAGATGGAGAAAGACAAAGGGATGGGATGAGATGGAGGGATTGCGAATCCCTATGCATAGGTATGTCTCTCTATCTAGGTTTCTGCAGAGCTTTGTTCACTTTGTGCTTTTGCGAATGCTAAGGCCGGAAGGGTAGGACCAGTTGTACTCCGTACAGTAGTTTGTGGGTTGGTGGTTTATGCTTTACAAGGGAGCGGTATGTAACCTTGTGAATTGAATACTCGTGAATTCTGGTCAAGACTGTGTTTACACATCGTATGATAGACTGGAGAAGCGGAGCGTACAGTGCAAAGTACAGTATAGATTTCTAAGTTTCAGTTTGTTACCGAAGATGCTGGAGAGGCAAGCTGCCGAGCAGACAAGCAAAAGTCCATCTTTAGAAACTCTCAATTATTGCGCGATAGATGCAAAAGGAGAATACCCATATAAATGCTCACGCGGGCACATGTTAGCAACAGATAATGTTTTGAAGATGTGGGGAAAGATTCATTTTTTTGCGAAAAGGTCTAGAAAGGAGGCGATTTATTTTTCTTCATTTTTTTTATATCGAGTAGTCTGGATACGTTGCAGAAGATGCAGTGCACAGTCTCGAATCTTTGAAGGGTGTTGGATTTTTTTAAATGCGTGTCTTGCATTGCATGTTGCATATTGCTACCTACCACGCATGCTGATTGAACGTGGTATGTAACTAAAATGGCACATACTGTACCTCTGAAAAAATATTTTGATCGTGTGTTCGTATGTGAGTTGAAGTGGGTGTGTCTTAGAAGTTAGATTTTGGGTAGGAAAATAAGGTGGTAGTCAGGTACCAAGATGAATGAGAAGTACAAGAAGCCCTGTAAAGTCTGTGAGGCCCAGGGTGCAGAAGTCTGTGCAGCTGTGGAAGAGTCAAACATGAAGCTAGAAATTGACATCGTGACCTTTTCCACGACGGATAAGAAGTTTTTGGTTGGGGGGTCGCCGGTGATGAGACTCGAAAGGGGTTCATAAACCGATCAATACTGTTCTAGAAGGGTGGTCTTGTGGGGTGAAAGTAAGTAGATGGATACTTAAATGCTTATCCGCGGACTCAGTCCCATGCTTCTTAGCTGGAATTGCCTATTAAGGTGTAAACAGATGAGCGTGCAGTGCCATGCACGACTGCACGGTCTTTGGTTCCAATACTTGTATCGTATCGGTACTCCGGCATTCGATTTTGGACTTGATTGATGTGTTTCTGTTTCTGTTGGCGTTTCTCCAGGAATAGAACTAAAAGGTTAAAAAAGTCTAATTGTGGAAAAGGACGTTAAGTCGTATTAGGAAATCCCGTCGGATGTCCCAATTCAATTTTTTACCCCCAAACTACTTGGAGCCTGGAGAGGGGGCTGGACTGGTCAGTGTTCAGGTAGGAAATTGGAAACTAGACAGGCGGGGCGGAATGAGTCTCGGAGTAGAGATGGTTTGTAATGTTTGGACATTGATATATGGGCGAGGCTGTGGTCGAATCCCTTTGTTGTCTCGGTTCTAGCCTCTGGTGGGTTTCAACAATATTGTCAGTCAGATAGATCGTCTTTGACTCTTTTCTGTTTTTGCAACTATTGTAGTTTGAAGTTCCATCTTGGGACCTCGGAATTGGATTAACAGAATAGACGCGAGGAGCTGGACTGTGCTGGGTGGACGATACTTTTTTTGAGCACGAGAGCAAATTGAGTTTTTTTTTTTTTTTTTGGAGACTGGAGTAATGGGGTGGAAAAAAGGGGTAGTCCTTGAGTCGTGCATCGTGATATTTTTAAAATTGAAAAAAGTTCCGTAGAAAAAAAAAAGATTGATCACAGTCAATTTTGTGGGGGGAAGAGGGGATACCGTTGTGTGAATAGAAAATGGGATTTTTGGCAACAGAATTAAGAATGCCGAGATAAATGTGTTGTCAGTGAGTACGTACCCAAGCAAGTGTCGTGATATTCTTGTTGAGTAGATCTTTTTCATCATTATGAATTCATCGATGACATAAAATGAATATATCTCATTCCAAGTTAATTGTAAGATGATAAATGATGATATATGATGAGATATGATGAGATATGATGAGATATGATGAGATCCGAGCTCGATGAAATAAGAAACTGATGTCAAACCAACTCATGACTTTGGAAAACAATGGGGGCATGATGTTATGTATACATGCGATCGAGATATGAGATTTCTCATTTCTCGATGATTGAAGATGGTCAATTGAATTTCATCATAACCTAAGAAACGTGATATCATTTCCAAGGCAGAAAGATAAGACCTGGTTGAGCCGTTTCTAACAATGTTTCGATTCGTTTATGTTGACGTTACCAAGTCTGTAAGGACAGAAGATTTGCAGATTTGCAGTCGAATCCCCCACCATCGCGCCTCAAGGAAACACAGCCACATGTAATATTGTGGATCGTGATTAGATATTCGTTTGGGAGAGACCTGTCAAGGCGATACCGGTAAAGCATCAGCATCAATCAGCATGAGCTTTTTAGCATTAGCATTAGCATTAGCATTAGCATTAGCATTAGCATTAGCATCAACATCAGCAAATCGATGAGATCTCAACGAGCTAAAACCACTTCCTCGTAAAAAGAAGTGGAGGAGCATATGGATGTTGGAGCCCAAAGAATGCAAAGCGAAAACTCCATGTGCACGATGTAACTAACTACTGTAGGTACTAACTCTAGTATACTTGTACACTGTACACTGTACACTGTACACTCTGCACTGCACACTGCACACTGCACACTGCACACTGCACACTGCACACTGCACACTACCGACCACCACACTATACTCCGTACATGCAAATGCAAACATGGATTCCACGGAAGTACCTAAGTAGAAAGAGCACAGTACGACAGACTGAGCACAGATCTCTTTCCTATTCAAAGGACGGACTTGAAGGGTGACTCTAGCCTCTTAATAAACTTTCTACCTAGGTCTTTTCAACACATTCTACTCGAGGAAAGTGCATGGATATTTCTATAGGGTGACGAACCACTGGGCGGCATAATTCCAATCATTCAGCTTCATAGGACGGAAATAATTCTTCCGTTTTCATAGAACACGCCTCGAACATATGGGTAAAAAGGCCAGCCAGTTCAATGAATCAGTCAGCGAGCCAGACAGCTTTTGATGTACATGACCATTTTACAGTTTCATGTTGCTATCTGGAAGAAATCTAATACAGAGTCGAGAAAGTGGGCTGAGGAAGAATAGAGAGCGAAGTGGAAAATAACGATCTTACGGAAAGATAGTACCGGTTAGTGGCATCAAGAAAGTAAGGTCTTAATAGAGCCTCTAGGTGCCCAATTAGCACTTAGATGGTTGACTTCATAACTTAGTCATTTTATTAGTTGTGACTATTTGAGGGCTAGTATCAATCTAGTATCTATTTAGTAGTAACGAGACCTTTTTCTACTTTTATAAGTCAAGCAATCGGCCTAGTAGCTTCATTTTCCCACACTCATAGTGTCCGATTCCCATACATTTTCCCCTTCATAATTCCCCACTGTTACCGGAACGGCCTCCCATGAATTTCGGTTGATCATCTGTCTCGTCACATGTCGCCCTGGAAAATGGATCGTGTTCTGCGTGTTCTGCGGTGTTCTGTGCAGAGGGTTTACATGGTTCTTGTGGAGTGTCTAACATGGATTCTAGCTCTTTCCCCTCTAGTTGAAGGAAATTGATACCGGATTGGGATTAAAAAGCTAAAAAGATTCGATACTTTTCTTAATAGATTTAACTTAGTCTTTGGGCGTCTCTCCAATGTCTCCATTCCAGTCAATCTACCAATCTACCAATCTACCAATCTACCAATCTACCAATCTACCGTAGTTTGTCAACCTATGCCAATGCTAATGCTATGCCTAGGAAACGCTAATTGCTACTCTCCACCACTTGGCTGCGCGGGATCGATTTTTCCCATCTTTATCCGTGCATTTAAATTCGTACCAAAATAATTAAAAAAGATGACCCAGGTCCCAAGTGACCTAGAAAGAGGGGCCCCCGCTTCATCTGGTACACCAAGGAAGAACGGAACTTCCGACGAGGCGCCATCGACAATCGAAATTTTATACTAAGGATCTTTTACTGGAGTAAAAGAGAACGAATTTAATTACTTGGAACTGGAATATCCAGTGTCCACCTTTAGTTGCTTGGTACGAGAATGCGAGTAACGGTGAGATATTCCTAAAACGTGTTGGTTCAACTTGGTAGATCTTTTTCCCGGAACACCCCTTCTACCTTTCCTCCATCTAGTCCCTCCACATACGGTCTACCTCCATCAAATCCTTAGCATGCCATACTAGCGAGTTCTCCCCTCGCGCTTACTCCGTACTCTTCCTTCCCGCAGGACCGTAACAAAGCCTCCTTCATTCC